TCCCAGCCTGCATGTGCACACGGGGACACACGTGTGGAGCTGGGGCACACAGCTGCACACACACACACACACACACACACAGGTACCTGCACAGAGCCTGTGTGCACACCTGTACCTGCCTGACCCCCCCAGAGCTGTGCACAGCAGCACACACGTGCCACACACACGCAGAGCTGTGCACACACTCACATATGTACAGTCTGTACCAACACACACGTGCACAAGACCTGCCTGCACATGCAGAGCCTTCACACAACACACGTGTGCACATCAACACACGTGTGCTCACAGAGCTGTGCACACCAGCACACACCCGTGCACAGTGCCTTGCACATCAGTAGGGATGTGCAGTGCAGAGCACTGTGCACCTCAGCACACGCGTGTGCACGCAGAGCTGTGCACACTGTCACATGTGCACACAAAGCCATGCACACTGACACACGTGTGCACAGCAGCGTGCACCTCAGCACACGTGTGTGCACACAGAGCTGTGCAAACCCACAAATGTGTACACAGAGCCATGCACACCAACACATGTGCACAGCACTGTGCACCCCAGCACACGTGTGCGCAGAGCCATGCAAACCACATGTACACACAACCATGCAGAGTGGGACACCCACTATGTACATGGTACCACGCACCTCAGCACACACGTGTGCACAGAGCTGTGCATGCCAGCACACCCATGTGCACAGTACCACACACACTGGCACACACATGTGCACAGCACTGTGTACATCAGCACACACATGTCCAGAGCTGTGCACACCAGCACACACATGTGCAGAGTCACACACACTGGCAGACACATGTGCACACCAGCAAACACGTGCTCACAGAGCTGTGCAAACAGCCACAGGTGTGTGCACAGAGCTGTGCAAACCAGCAAACACATGTGCACAGAGCCACACACGGGCACACACGTGCACAGCACTGTGCACCTCAGCACTCCCGTGGGCACACAGAGCCAGGCACACTGGCACACACACACGTGCAGAGTGGCACACACACTGGCACACACGTGTGCACAGTCACACCCATGAGCACAGCACTGTGCACCTCAGCACCCATGTGGGCACACTGGCAAACCCGTGCGCTCAGCGTGTCACACACTGGCACACACGTGCACAGTCACACACACGTGCAGAGTGTCACACACACTGGCAGACACGTGCACAGTCACACACACGTGCAGAGTGTCACACACACTGGCACACACGCGTGCCCGGCATGACCCCCCTCAGCACACACACGTGCTCGCTGAGCCGAGCTCCGCAGCCCCCCTGCCCTCGCTCAGAGCCTCCCTCGCCCCCGCTCCGCCCTCAGACCCCTACTTGTGGCGCGGGTGCCGCCGCGGCGCCCGCAGGGGCCAGCACGCGGCCAGGAGCTGGGGCTGGTGGTACAGCACCATCCCCGCCAGCGTCAGCGCCACGCCGGCGTAGCCCAGCGCGCCCAGCCGCGTGCCGAACAGCAGGCGGGACAGCAGCAGGTTGCCCACCACGGTGAGGCTGCCCAGGAGGTGCAGCGTGAGGGCGGAGGTGAGGGACAGGAGGCAGGACGTGGCCAGGTTGTAGAGGACGGAGCCCAGGCAGCTGAGCAGGACGCAGCCCCAGAGCGCGGCGTCGGGACGCAGCACCCCCTGCCACGAGGGGCCCAGCTCCAGCGCCACGGCCGCCCCGAACAGCAGCACGAAGCTGGGCAGGGACGTCAGGCCGAGCAGGGACAGCGCGTCCAGATGGTCCTCCTGCAGCAGCACACCTGGGGGGACAGGGGACAGTCAGGGGGATGTGTGAGACAACCCAGGGGGACACCCAGCACCTGCAGCGGCACCCACCCAGCTAGGACACCCAGCACACACAGGGGCACTAACCCAAGGGGAACACCCAGCACCCACAGGGACACCCCCAGATGGGAACACCCACCAATATGGGTCCCTGCTCGCTGCCCAAGTAGTTAAAAAATTCCAAATGTCACTGGAAAGGGGGAAATGGAGGGGACAGTCCCTTCTGTGGGCTGGGGGTCCCCTGCCTTGGGGGGTGTCCCCCACTTTGAGGGTTCCCTGGTTTGGAGGTGCCTTGGTTCAGAAGACACCCCAGTTCAAAACTTTCCCATTTTTGGGATTCACTGGTTTTACAGGGTGCCCTGGTTCAGTCAGTGTCCGGGTTCAGGGGTGTCCTGGTTTGGGGGTCAGGGTGCCACAGGACAGGGTTGGACAGGGCAGCTTCCCCAGCCTGTTTCGGAGCATTGTCCCCACGTCCCCCCTCTGGGTTATCTGGGGACAGTGGGGACAGCAGGCACGACAGGGCTGGCTGCCACACACAGACATGCACAAGGGGCAGTGCTGTGTCCATGGGGGACAGAACAGCCCCCAGGCTCCCCAGGGCCACTGTCCGTGTTCCATGGGGGTGACAAGGGGACAGGGCAGTGGCATGATGGGCAGGGGTGTCCCTTGGGGGGCCACAGCACCTCGGTACAGCCAAAGGGACCTCCAGGAGGGCACAGGGCCCCACAGCAGAGCCCATCCCTGCAGTGCCCTGAGTCACAGGCTCCAGAGGAAACACTCCCTTCCCAGCCAAAAACATCCTGGCTGGCTCCTCACTGCCACTTGCCAAGGACACCATGGCCCGGGTGGCACCAGAGTCCCTGGGAATGGGGGACTCACAGGGGTCCAGAGCCCACAGTGCTGGCAGGGAGCCCATGGGAATGGGGCAGGCTGGGTATCCCTGTGCCTCCCCATGGCCCCAAGACATGGGACAGTGTCACCAGGAGCCAGCAGTGCCAGGGGACACCACAAGGACACCAATGGAGTCATCACTGAGGTCAAACTGAGGTCACATCACTTCAGGGCCAGGAGCATGACACAGCCCCAAGGGGCCAAGGGTGGCACTGGAGTAGCACTGGGGTGACACCAGGCACAGAGTAGGCAAGGCGTGGTGCTGGGGTGACAGTAGGGTGGCACCAAGGCCAAGGAGGACAGCAGGTGGCAACAGGACTGGGATGGCACAGAACTGGCACTGGGGCGGAGGTGACACTGGGAGCCAGAGTGCCACCAGGGCTGGGGTGACAACGGAGTGGCACTGGGGCCAGGGTGGGCAGGGAGTGTCACCAGCACCAGGGTGGCACTGGGGTGACACCAGTGACAGGGTGGGCAACGGGTGGCACTAGGGTGGCACCAGGGACAGGGCGGGGCTGGGGTGGCACTGGGGCTGGGGTGACACTAGGATGACATCCAGTACAGGGTGGGGAGGGGGGTGGCACTGAGGTGATACCAGAGCCAGGGTGGGCAGCATGAGCGAGCAGGGAGCGTCCCCAGCCCCACGGTGACACCGGGGTGCCACCAGCCCACCCGCGCACCAGGGGCCGCGCCAGAGGAGGACGCACATGCAGGACAGCGACAGGTGGCACTTACTCTGCTGGATGGACTTGAGGGCGCGGAGCACGGTGGCGGCCAGCAGGAAGCCGCAGCCGGGCTGGGAGAAGCGGAGCCCGCCGGCGATGCTGCAGGCGGCCCCGGCACACACCGGGCCCATGGCCCAGCACTGCAGCGGGTGCGGCCGCCGGCCCCCCAGCACCCCCAGCACCAGCGTCACCAGCGGCGTGGTGGTGGCCACGGCCTGGGCCACGTCCAGCTGCACGTAGCTCAGGCCCAGGTTGCCCAGGGCCACGCTGGTGCAGAAGGTGAGGCTGAGCAGGTAGATGCGGGCGCGGGGCCGCGGGGAGCGGGCACCCCGCGCCCAGCCCAGCGGGTACCCCACGGCCACCCCCGACAGCATGTGCAGCGAGGAGAGCAGCAGCGGGTATCGGAACCCGTGCGCCGCGAAGATCCACTTGTTGAGGCCGGCCATGGTGGTGCCGGTGCCCAGCCAGGCCAGCACGCTCAGGGTCAGCGGCAGCGCCGGGCCCGGCGGGGGCGGCCGCCCCCCGTCCGCCTGCCCCGGGTCGGGCTTCCAGGGCCGGAGGGTGCCCTCGCCCGCCGTGCTCATCGCGGCCTCATCGCCCCGCCGCGACCGCGGGCACATGGGCACCGGCCCCGCTGCCTCCGGCCGCCCCTCGCCGCTCTGCCCCGTCCTCCCGCGCCGCGCCGGGAGCCGCCGCACCCGGGCAGCGGCGGTGGCGGTGACCGGTCGCTCCGGCGGTGGCGGTGTCGCTGTCGGCGGTGTCTCCGCGCCCGGGGGCGGTGGCGGAGCTCAGCCCCGCGGTGCCGGGGCCATGTGCCGGGAGGAGGCGGCGGCGGCCGCCGGGAACCAGCGCAAAGTTTGGTGATGGCGGGAGCGGAGGGCGGAGGCTCCTCCCCGTGAGGGCCCCGCGCGTCACGGCCGCCGGGCGGGGTTCGGGGGCACGGGGGCACCGCGGGCACGCCCAGCGACCCGCCCGGTGCGGCGGGGCCCGCCGGGGACCTTCGGCCCCACCGGGAACCTTCGGCCCCGCCGGGACAGCACAGCCGCCTCCCCGGGCCCCGCCACAGCCCCCGCCGCCCTCACGGAGTGACCGCCATCGCTGCCCCCGCCCCGCCCGCCCGGGAGCGTCACCGGCATCGCCCCCGAGCCCGAACCGCGGCGACATCCGCGACACCGCCCCGGCCCCGCTCGCTGCCCTGCCCTGCCGTGATCTGGGGCTTGGGTTAAACGCCGGGGGTGCCCCTCGCGCTGGGTGTGGCACTGGGGGCCCCGGGGGCTCAGTGGGGAGGGCCAGGGCCCCGCCAAGGCGTTACACAGGAGGGTGATCCCAGCTGGCGGCTTTCTGGGGATGAGCAGCGCTGACTCGGTCTCCACAAATCTTTGCATATCCCAAAAATGCTTTGGACACCCCAAAACCGGCTGCTCCCAGCACCTGCCTGCGCCATCCCTGAGAGGGACCAGGACCAGAGGAGCTGCTGGTCCCAGTGCTCCCATCCAACAGCACCTGTAGGACAAGGCACATTCTGTCCCCCTCCTCTTCCTCCTCCCCCCGGCAGATTTGGGGTGCTGGCCCCTGGAAAGCAGGAGACAGAAAGCAGGTCCTGTGCCCACAGTGGAGGTTTCATTGCCATCACCCCCTACAGCCCCCCACCCTCTACCACTCGCTGAGGCGCAGGATGAGGGTCTCCCCATCGTGGGGAATGTAGTCGGCGACACCTGCAGAGGGAGGGACAGTGACCTCAGGTGAGACTGGGGGCCCCAGGGGCCGTGGGGACTGCCTGGGACCCCCACTGCCTCCCAGGGACCCCCACCCATCACTTACCTGTCAGCAGGGGGGTGCTGGGGGCTGTCAGGAGCTGCCAGTAGTTCCGCTTCTCCTGCCGGGCCTCCAGCCCCAGCACCTGGGTCAGGTAGGGGCCCTGGGGGGTGTCCTGGGTGTCAAACCTGGGGGGTGGCAGAGGGCAGTGAGGGGGATGAGTGTCCAGTCCTGGCACTGCTGGCGGTGGGACAGGGCAGCTCCCAAGGGAGCCGGGCAAGGGTGAGCCCTTGGCGTGGGTGCAGGACACGTGGCCACCCCAGTGCGACCCCAGGGGACCCCAGGTGGGTCACATACGTGAAGTGGGGTTCCTGTGCAGTGGCCGCCCCGAGCACATCCAGCAGGGAGGCGGCGGCAGGCGTGGACACCCGCCGGTCGTAGAGCTGGAGCTCGGAACACCAGGGCTGGGCACACTCCACCACCAGCCGCACTGTCTTGTTCCCTGGCACCTCAGCCGGGGGCTCCATGTCGAGGGGTGTCAGTGTATCTGTGAGAAGTCACTGTGGCGTTGATGGACACCCGGCCACCACCACGGTGGCACTGGCACCAACCCCATCCCGGCTGCCCCCGGCTCATACCCAACTCCTCCTGGCAGTGCATAGTGGCGACATCCAGGTAGGAGTGGCCGTGCAGCACTGGCAGCACCTGGGCCATGGTGGTGGCCGTGCCGAAGGCATCCAGGTTCTCCAGCAGCGCAGCCACGGCCCGGCTGTAAGCTGGCTCCGTGTGGCACATGCCTGTGGCCAGGAACACCTGGAGCAGGAGGGAGGTGGTGGGGCAGCAAGAAGAGGAGGGAGGTGGTTGGGCGCCTGGGCACTGCAGGGCTGAGCATCACCTGCCCTGGGGCAGCTGCCTCTGCCCAGGCACCACCATCTGCATCTGTACCTGCACCTACACCCCACATCTGCACCCACATCTTGCATCTGCACCTGTAGCTGTATCTACACCCACATCTGCACGTGCCTACACCCTCTCCTACAGCCTTCTGCACCTGCACCCCACATCTACACCCGTACTTTTATCTGCACCCATATCTGCTCCTGTGCCCACACCCACATCTGCACCCAAATCTGCACCCACATCTGCACCCGCACCTGTACGTGCACCCAAACCTGCATCTACACCCAAACCTGCATCTACACCCACATCTGCACCCGCACCTGTACCTGCACCCACATCAGCACCTGCGGCCCCACCTCCCCTTGCCAATTCCTGCTCCCATGCCAGAAGTCCCCTCAGGTGACACCCACCTGCAGGGCCCAGGGGGTGCTGTAGATGTTGCCGATGATGCCCTCGGGTCCCTGAGCCTCGGCCATGCTCCTGCTCACCCTGTGCACGGTGTCCCGGAGCTCGGCCGCCAGCCCGGCCCCCACCAGCCTCCTGCGCTCCAGGCAGGCGAAGGCCAGTGCCAGCACGGCCTCCGTGTCTGCAGGGACACCACGGGGTCACCGCGGGCTCACCCCCCGACGGGTGCTCCTGCCTGCACCCACGGGCCCTTACCCACGGCGCTGTGCCCGAGCCGGCCGCGGTGCTGTGCCTCCAGGAGCCGGCGGATCACCTCCTCCCGCACCCGCTTGTGGTGCGCACACAGCGCCAGCACACCCAGCCCGTACTGGTAGTAATTGGTGAGGGGGTGGCCGTGCCGCCGAGAGCCTGGGGAAGAGGGGTGGTGTCACCAGGGTGAGTGAGGTCCCACCCTGTGGGTGCCCAGGTGGGTGGTCACCCCGTGGGGACACTCACCTGTCCAGTCCTCCTCCAGGTAGTATTTGAGCCACGTCACCAGAGCCCGGTGGGGTTTGGTTGGGGGACAGGTGGCCCTCAGCCCCAGCAGGTACAGCGCCAGCCGCCCCGTCTGTGGCCGCTCTGTGCCCCTGCAAGGCACCGGGCACCTCCCAGGACACCACCGAGGGTGTCACCCTGCCCTCAGGGCACCTCCAGGACACCACACTGGGGGTGTCACCCTGCCCTGGGGCTCCTAGGACCCTGCTGGCGGTGTCACCCTACCCTCAGGGCACCTCCCAGGACCCCATCAGGGGTGTCACCCAGTGACATGGGTGATTTCAGGGCACCCCGTGTCCCCCAGGACACCCACACGTACGTGCTGAGCTCAGCATCCTGCTCAGGGTAGCCATGGGCCTGCACGCTCCTGTGGGGACCTGAGGTCAGTGTGTGGGACAGGGGTATCCCCAAAGGCCCGTGGGGAGCCCCGGTGTCCCCGTGGGGGTCTCGGTGTCCCCCCAGTGTCCCACCTGCCGTAGGGGTGCTGGAAGGCGCGGTGCAGCCTCTCCAGGTAGTGCTGCTCCAGCTGCAGGTTGTGCTCCCGGCCCAGGCGCAGCCCCAGGTACGTGGCAGGGTCGGGGTCCCGCGCAGGGTCCCCCGCCAGCCCCAGCAGCCGCCCGCTCAGCGCCCGCACCGCCCCCGCCGGCCCCGGGGGGGGCTCTGCCCACGACCCCCGGGGAGGGAGCGCAGGTGAGGGGGCACAGGGGGCTGAGACACCCCTCCGCAGCATCTGCAGCCCCCCGGAGCTCTGTGGGGATGGAGCCCCGGCACCCAGCCCTGCCGTGCACCCAACACCCTCTGTGTGCCCCCACAAATCCCAAAACCTCGAGATTTCCCACAAACAAAGAGGGAGAAACAAAGGAAGAGCCGTAAAGAGAAACACAGAGAGCCCGGCAGAGCCCCCCTCCCTGACACCCCTCTGTGACACCCCTGTCCCAGTGTCCCTGTGGGACCCCCGGAGGGTGGGCAGGGGCTGGCTCCGGGCAGGGGAAGGGGCTGCAGGAATCAGGCTCATGGGGGGAGCTGAGCCCTGGAAAACGCATCCCCGAGGGATTTCACGAGGCCCCCGGGACTGGGGAGCAGGGCTGGAGTACAGGGAGGGGTTTGTCACCTCAGCCCTGCCCCTCAGGGACCCCCCGGCCCCGGGGGGGTCCCGGGCAGGTCGGGGGTCCCGGGGCCGCACTCACCGCAGCGCTGGGCGGACAGGACCGCGGGCGGCAGCAGCAGGACGAGCAGCAGCAACATGCTGGAGAGGGACAGGGGGTGACACGGAGGGGACAGGGCACCGCCGGACGCCCGGCAGCGGCAGGATGAGCCCGGGCGGGACCGGGACAGCACGGGAAGCTGGGGCGGGAGGCCGTTTCCGCACGTCGGGGCCGAGTCAGCACAAACGGGGCAGAACTTTGGCTGGGACGCGCCGGGGGGAGCGGGGGCATCACGGGGGCTGTGCTGGGTCACCCTGCCCCGGGTCACCCTGCTCCGAGCAGCCCAAAAACAAAGACAGGCGTGAAATCCCACAAATCCGGTGCCTTTGAAAACGAGAATCCACTGCTCGCTTCCAACCGGGATTTAATTGAGAAGACGAGGATTAATCAGCCCTACCCCGGAGCCGAAGGGGGGAGGGGGCTGAGCCCCAAAAAGTAACTCCCTAAAGCCGAACCCTCCCGGGGTGCCCAGGGCTCCGGGGGAGGGGGGGCGGCGCCCCCGGCATTGGAGGGGGTGAAGCACCCCGGATCCCAGCCAAACTGGCGGGGGACGGGGCTGTGGGGGCTCGGGGGGGCAGTGCCGCGGGTGGGGCCGGGACCCCCGGCATATCCCGGCATGCCCCGCGCGGGAGGACCGGCCTGCCTCGGTATATCCCAGCATGCCCCGCGCCTCAGGACCCCTCACCGCAGCGCTCTGGGCTGCCCGCCGCGCGCCTGACAGACCGCGGTCCTGTCTTCCGAGCCGCTCATTCCGCCCGCGCCTCTCGTTCCGCCCGCGCCTCTCGTTCCGCCCGCGCCGCCCGCGGTGTCCGCGCAGTCCCGGTGCCCGGCGCAGGGCGGCTCCGGTGTGCTCAGGCGCGGCGCGGGCAGCCCGGGGTCCAGCGGCGGCGGGAGCGCGTGGCTCGGCAGGGCCATGGGGGGAGTGGAGAAGAAGAAGGTACCGGGACCCCGCACCCGACCCCGTCCCCTCCCCAAACTGTCCCATCCCTGTCCCATCCCTCTGGGGCTGCGCCCACACCCCCAGGGCCCGTGCCCGTCCCTCCGGTGCCTTCCCGTGTCGTGTCCCTCCTCCCCTCTGGTGCCCGCCCCCGGTCCCGGTGTCTCCCCCCTCCAGTGCCGGTGCCTCCCCTCCGCCCCCGTGACCTCCGGTCGGTGCCCACTGCCCCACTCGCCCCCCTCGCTGTCCGTGCCCGGCGGTCGCTCTCAGCCCCCATCCCATCCCTGGGTCCCGTTTCCCCCCGGTTCCAGGGGTCTCCTCACTCTCCCCCCCATCTCCCCGCAGTACGAGCGCGGAGCCGCCACCAACTACATCACCCGCAACCGGGCGCGGAAGAAGCTGCAGCTGAGCCTGCCCGACTTCAGGTGCGCCCGGAACCCCCGAACTCCCCCTGCAGGGACCCCACACCCCATGAACTCACTCCCCTGCAGAGCCCCTGAGCCTCCTTGAGCCCCCCGGGACCCCCAGGCCCCAGAATCCCCTCTGAATCCCCTCTGGACCCCCCCCCTCCAGACACCCCAAACCCCCTTGATGACAGCCCTGGGACCCCCAGAGTCCTCCCAGGTCAGCAGTGGGAGATGGAGCCTGTGGTGGGTGTGTGGGGTGGCCCTGGGACCTCCTGAACCCCCTCCAGGGGGTGGCCTTTGGGGTGTCCCTGTCCCTTGGGAGCAGGATGGATTATCTTGTGTGTCCTGGAGTGTGTCCCAGGATTTCAGGTGCCAAGTTTGAGGGTTCCCTCCCAACCAAGGGCAGGGCCTGGGGTGCCCAGGGGTGCTGTGTCCCCATGTCCCAGCCCTGTCCCCTCCCCAGGCGCCTCTGCATCCTCAAGGGAATCTACCCCCATGAGCCCAAGCACAAGAAGAAGGTGAACAAGGGCTCCACGGCCCCCAGGACCTTCTACCTGCTCAAGGACATCAAATTCCTGCTCCATGAGCCCATCGTCAACAAATTCCGGGAATACAAGGTGATTGTCCCACCCCAGGGGCTGCTGGGGCTGGTCCTGGAGCACCCAGGAGCACCCAGGAGCACCCACCTCCCCCATCCCCGCAGGTGTTTGTGCGGAAGCTCCGGAAGGCGTACGGGAAGAGCGAGTGGAGCACCGTGGAACGGCTGAAGGACAACAAACCCACCTACAAACTCGACCACATTGTGAAGGAGAGGTGAGGAGAGTCCTGGTAGAGCCACAGGGAGCCCACCTGGAGCTCAGTGTATCCCACTCTGGGGGCCCAGCACAGGAAGGACGTGGAGCTGCTGGAGAGAGTCCAGAGGAGGCCCCGGAGATGCTGCCAGGGCTGGAGCCCCTCTGCTCTGGAGCCAGGCTGGGAGAGCTGGGGGGGTTCACCTGGGGAAGAGAAGGCTCCAGGGAGAGCTGAGAGCCCCTTGCAGGGCCTAAAGGGGCTCCAGGAGAGCTGGAGAGGGACAGGGGACAAGGGATGGAGGGACAGGACACAGGGAATGGCTTCCCACTGCCAGAGGGCAGGGTTAGATTGGATACTAGGAAGAAATTCTTCCCTGTGAGGGGGATGAGGCCCTGGCACAGGTTGCCCAGAGAAGCTGAAGCTGCCCCTGGATCCCTGGAAGTGTCCAAGGCCAGGCTGGACAGGGCTTGGAGCAACCTGGGCTAGTGGAAGGTGTCCCTGCCCATGGCAGGGGGTGGGACTGGGTAGGCTTTAAGGTCCATTCCAACACAAACCATTCCAGGATTCCTTCACTTCATCCACCCCTCTTTGGGAACCCACTTCCTGTGTATTTTCTGGGGGTGTTGGTGTCAATGGGTGTCTCTGGACTGGAGGAGTGAGCAGGGAGCTCCTGGCCATCCTGGGTGGCTCCAGGGGGACACTGAGGGCTCCCTCCTGTCCCTGCACAGTGCTTTCCTCAGAGGGAGGGCTGGTTGAGGTTTAATCATGCCCATGGCTTTGGTGACAGTGAGCAAGGAGGGGACACAGGAAGGAGGGAAGGAATGGACATTGGCAGGAGGAAAGGAATAGGCTCTGGCAGGTCTGTTCCTTGTCCCTGTGGTGCCTGGGACCTCTCTGTGCTGGTGTGAAGAGAGAAGCAGTGCTGAGAAGTGACCTGTGCCACAGGCCATGGGCCATGTGTGTGTCATGTATATGTGTGTGTCCTCAGGGTTCCAGGCTAGAATCCCCCACACTCAAAACCTGTGGGTGCCCTAAACCTTGTTCACCCCCACCTCATGTTCCGAGGTGCTGCCGTGTCCTCTGGGGAGCCCTGAGCCCCGGGAGCTGTGTGGCTGTGACCCCTCAGTGCCCAGGAGGGACACCCATCCCTGTGGGTCCTCGAGGGAACGACTGGAGTTGTGTCAGGGGAGGATTGGATTGGATCTCAAGGAAAGGTTCTTCCCCAGAGGGTGGTTGGGCACTGACCAGGCTCCCCAGGGCAGTGGGCACAGCCCCAAGGCTACCAGAGCTCCAGGAGGGTTTGGACAACACTCTGAGGGACAGGGTGGGATTGTTGGGTGTCTGTGCAGGGCCAGGGATGATCCTTGAGGGTCCCTCCCAGTTCAGGACATTCCATGGTTCTGTGACCAGCTCTGGTGGGATGTGCAGGTGGATGTTCCATGTTTCCAATTCCTTTCTCTCCCGGAGTCTCCCCCAGCCCCAGCAGCCTTTGCTGGACAGCAGGGCCGGGTGTGATCCCCATTCCCTTTCCCCTGGACACAGGTACCCCACGTTCATCGACGCCCTGCGGGACCTGGACGATGCCCTGTCCATGTGCTTCCTGTTCTCCACCTTCCCCCGGACGGGGAAGTGCCATGTCCAGACCATCCAGCTGTGCCGGCGCCTGGCCGTGGAATTCCAGAACTACGTCATCGCCTCCCGCTCCCTGCGCAAGGTGGGCATGGGGAGAGGGACAGGACAGGCCCCCCTGCCCGGGGGGCATGGGGGTGGTGGGTTTGGGCACTGGGAGGGGATTGGGAAGGCACTGGCCCAGCTGTGCTGGAGCTGCTGGTGGGGTGCGTGTCACACTGGGATGTTTGATCCTCCCTGAGGAGGAAGCAACCCAGCCAAGGGAAGGGGGAGCGAGGACAGGGACACAGCAGCCCCGTGGCCTTCCTCCCCCTAAGCCCTCACTGTGGTCCTGCCAGGTCTTCCTCTCCATCAAGGGCATCTACTACCAGGCAGAAGTGCTGGGCCAGCCCATCACCTGGATCACCCCCTACGCCTTCGCCCACGATGTGAGTGCCTGGGAAAGGCACGGTGGGATCCTGTGCCCAGGGAGGGGCTGAGGGTCCATCCTGAGGCAGAGGAGGCAGTGCCCAGCCTGTGGTGAGCCCACGGGGCCTGGCTCAGGGGGCATGTGCGGACACAGCCCTCTGTTACCCCGGGGCTGCCCGTACCAGTCTCCCCAGTTCCTCGTGTCCTCAGTTATTAATACACACCTTTACCAGTCATTAAAGATTAACCTGCAGGAACGAGGGAAACAGGGAAGGGATGAGTCAGATCCTGCAGCCTTGAGCAGGGAGGTTCTGCTGTGTCCCCACACAGCAGGACAAGGGGGGCTGTGGGTGCCACCGTACTGGGACAGCCATGTGCCCCCCTGAGCCTTGGCAGGCAGGAGGTCACGGCCAGTGCCCTCTCCATTCACTCCCAGGATTTTCAGAGCTGGGCACAGTTAGGTTGGGGCTTTGTGGTTTTGAATCCCGGAATGGTTTGGACTGGAAGAGACCTTAAGGATCATGTCATTCCACCCCCTGCCATGGGTGGGGACACCTTCCACTAGCCCAGGTTGCTCCAAGCCTCGTCCAACCTGGCCTTGGACACTTCCAGGGATCCAGGGGCAGCCACAGCTTCTCTGGCAGCCTGTGCCAGGGCCTCCCCACCCTCACAGGGAGGAACTTCTTCCCATATCCCATCTAACCCTGCACTCTGGCAGTGGGAAGCCATTCCCCTTTGTCCTCATCCTCCTTATCCTGCTCTTGTCTTGCTCTTGTCTAGCTCTGCCACACCCTGCACTCCTCACCTTGATTTGAAGTTCCTGGGCCAAGCCCCAAGGTCCCCATCCATGATGGGATGAGGTGTTCCATGTGTCCAAGCAGGGCAGGGTGGCAGCAGGACCCTGCTTGTAGCCTGGGGAGCTCTCCCTGCCCAGGGTCTGGTGGTGGCTGTGACCTGACTTGTGAAGGGGGCAGGATTAGGTTGGATCTGAGGAAAAGGTTCTTCCCCCAGAGGATGATTGGGCACTGACCAGGCTCCCCAGGGCAGTGGGCACAGCCCCAAGGCTGCCAGAGCTCCAGGAGGGTTTGGACAACGCTCTGAGGGACAGGGTGGGATTGTTGGGGTGTCTGTGCAGGGCCAGGGATTGGACTTGATGATCCTTGTGGGTCCCTTCCTAAATAGGGATATTCCGTGACCTTCCTCCCCACATGGATGGGATGGGCCCCTGTCCCTGCAGAGAGGGTCCTTTATCCACACATTCTCCCCCCCATGTACCTGCAGCACCCCACAGACGTGGATTACCGGGTCATGGCCACCTTCACCGAGTTCTACACCACCCTCCTGGGCTTCGTCAACTTCCGCCTCTACCACTCCCTCAACCTGCTCTACCCCCCCAAGGTGAGGCCATGGGGTCACTGCTGGGACCCCCCTGGGGTGCTGCAGGGGGGGATGTTTGGGAGCTGCCTCCCCACCTCTGTTCCTCCCCAGATCGACAGCCAGGCTGATGCTGAGCTGAAGCCCACGGAGGGCAAGGAGTATGCCATGGATTCAGAGAGCTACCTGGAGGTGAGGGACACTGAGGGCACCATGGGACTGATGGGTGGAGGGGGCTGATCCCAAACTCCTTGTCCCTGTAGGGAGGAGCTGAGCTTGGCCTCGGGCTCTACCGGCCTCCCCCTGTGTGGCAGGAGACCCTCCAGAGCCCCGTGCTGGGGACTGTCCATGGAGGAGGCTGAATTCTGCCCAATCCCTGGGTCTTTTGGCTCTGAGAAATCTCTTTCCTCCATGGGGCTGCCCCTTTTCCCACCCTCTGGATATGACTCCATCTCCTCCCACTGCAGAGACTGTCAGCTCTGAGCTCCAGCCTGGCCCGAGTAGTGGCACCGACACACGAGGATGAGGTGGAGATGGACGAGTTCCCAGTGGAGGGGGTGAGAGCCTGGTGGGGGACTCATGCCTGCCTGTCCTGTGCCCAGGCAAAGGCTGGCAGGGCCAGCGAGGTGCCAGGAGTCTGGGGACAGCGCCTGAGACCCCCCCCTTGCAGAGGGGGCTTGGCAGGGGCTGTTGGGGAGGAGGCTGAAGGCTTTGCTCCGAGCAGGAGACGGCAGAGCAGATGGATGCCAAGAAGAAGGAGCAGGAGGCCCTGGAGAAGCACAAGAAGCTGTTTGAGGGGCTGCGCTTCTTCCTCAACAGGGAGGTGCCTCGGGAGCCTCTGGCTTTCGTCATCCGGTGCGTGGGGGGTGGGACACCCTGGGCAGCCCTGGCCTCCCACAGCCCCTCTGCTGGGCCCACCCTGCCCGATGTCCTGCGGGTGAGGTGACCCCCAGGGTCCCACCAGCCTGCCTGACTCCTTGGTGGGCTTTTCTGGCAGGAGCTTTGGTGGCCAGGTCTCCTGGGACAAGTCCCTGTGCATTGGGGCCACCTACGATGCCACCGACCCCTCCATCACCCACCACATCATCGACCGGCCCCGCGTGGAGAAGCAGGTGGTGGGCAGGTGGGTGAGACAGGGACCTGACCCCAGAATGGCCACGAGGGCCACCCCAGAGCTGTCCCACGGGCTCCAGAGCCTGAGGTGGGGTCCCTCTGCCTCCCCCAGGTACTACCTGCAGCCTCAGTGGGTGTTTGACTCGGTCAATGCCAAGCTGTGCCTGCCCGTGGCCGATTACTTCCCGGGTGTCCTGCTGCCCCCGCACTTGTCACCCTTCGTGACGGAGCAGGAGGGTGACTACGTGCCTCCGGAGAAGCTGAAGCTGCTGGCCCTGCAACGGGGAGAGAACCCAGGTGATGGGAGCCATGGAGGAGTTTCAGAGCTGGGCAGGTGCCAGCGCCTGCTCTGGAGCCCCTCAAGGGTAACCACGGTCTCTCCTTGTAGATGAGGAGAGTGAGGAAGAGGAAGAAGAGGAGGAGGAAGAGGAGGATGACAATGACAAAGAAGAGGAGGAGGAAGATGAGTCTGAAAAGGAAGAGGAGATGAAGTTAAAGAAGATGGAAGAACAGAAGACTCAGAGTAACAAGGTGGGTGCCCGGCAGCGGGGTAGGTGCCCTGGAAGGAGGCGGGTGGGCACTGCCCTTGCTGAGGCTCTGCTCACTTTGGGGTGTTCTTGTCCTGGGACTGTTGGGGCACTGACAGGATCCTGGAATGGTTTGAGTTGGGAGGGACTTTAAAGCTCATCTCATTCCACCCCCACCATGGGCAGGGGCACCTTCTACTAGCCCAGGTTGCTCCAAGCCCCATCCAACCTGACCTGGAACATTTCCAGGGATGCTCTGGGCCCCACGTTTGTGAGCTGCAGCTCCCACCCACACTTAGGACCTGCTCAGGTTCAGAGGGAGCTATGGCTGTTTTGTGGCCCCTGGTGAGTGGGCTGGAAATGGGGGTGGTGGATTCCTGAGATCTGGGTTCCTGAGCTCTCTGGCTCCCACAGGCACTTCCCGTGAAGGTGACAGCGGGGAAGGTGCGAGTGGAGGACAAGCAGCGCCTGGAGCAGGAGCAGCAGAGCGAGGAGAAGCGCCTGGCCATCATGATGATGAAGAAGAGGGAGAAATACCTCTACAAGAAGATCATGTTTGGCAAGAAGCGCAAAGTCCGTGAGGTACGAGCTCTGTGGGACAGGGCCCTTCACCAGCATCCTGGGATGGGCTCTTCCCAAATCTCCTTGTTCCTTCTTCTCTGTACCTGGAGAAGGTGTTGAGGGCAGGTGGGCAGGGGTGAGGCTCTACCAGCCCCTTCCCAGCACCCCCAGGCTGCCCCATGGCAGGGCAGAGCTCCTCGTGCTCCCTCGGGACTGCGCCTCGTGGCCTCTCTCTGTGTCCCACACCTGACCCTGGTGCCATGGAATCCATCCTCACCTACAGCTGGAGGTTTGGTGGGACTGAGGGTCTGCAGATGGATCTGCTCTGACCGCGGGTCTCGGGGGTCTCTCCACAGGCCAACAAACTGGCTGCCAAGAGGAAAGCCCACGACACGGCCCTCAGGGAGGAGAAGAAGAAGAGCAAGAAGGCACGAGCATGATGGGGCTGGGGGCTCCCAGAGGGGGCTGGAGGATGGTTTTCCACTTTTTCTGTTGAGTGGAAAACCCTCGGCTTTGCTCCTGAGAAACTGGTATTGCTGTATTGAAACATTTCCCATCTGTAAATACACCTCCTGCTGTGCCTCTCCTCCATGAAATCCATGTCACAAGGACTGTCCTCTCCATGCTGGGGCCACCTCTGTGTGAGGAGGAGGTCGAGGAGAGCTCCAGGCTTTGGAATGTTCCGTATGGATTTGCACAGCCCTGAGTGCCAGATCCAGGCTCCCTTGGGCAGAGGAGTGCAGAGCCCACAGTGCTCCCTAGTATCCACATAGAAAACCATATTCCCTTATATTTTTATTTTTAAATAAAGGTGATGCTTTCCTGGTGGTGTTTGTTGTCTGTTCCCTCTGCCTGGGCACGGGGCAGGCTCCTCATCCTGCTTTTGGGATGTGTGTGGGGCTGATGAGGATGCATGAGGAGCTGCCATGGCCAGTGCCAGGGCTGGCAACACCCCTGGCATCAGCAACATCATCCCCCACTCCTGTTTTTTCCTCCCGAAACACCTTGGAGACACCCTTTCCTGTGCTGTGGTATCTCATGGGGTTTTTGGGGACACCTTTGTCCCCGGGTGTGGGGAAGGCTCTGTCATGCCATGGGGATTTTTGGAAGACACCCCGAGGGGACATGGGTGGCCCGTGGGGTCATGGCAGTGCTGCCAGTCCCAGGGGTGACATTTCCTGGTAGTGAGTGAAGTCAGACAGGGAATGGTGGGAAATGCCCAACTTCTGGAATTTAGATTTATTTTCCTAGATTTTATTTCTTTATAATTTTGGGGTTTTTTTCCCTTTTTTCTTTCTTATTTGAATTTCTTTGCTTTTTAGATTTTTCCTTTTGCAATTAGCTTTCCTTTTTTTCCCCTTTTTTCCCCTTTTTTCCCCTTTTTGTTCCTTTCCGCACTTTTTTTCGTGTTTCCCCCTTTTTTCCCCTTTTTTTCCCCTTTTTTCCCCTTTTTTTTTCCCCCTTTTTTGTCCTTCCGTTTCCCCCTACTTTCCCCAAACCTTTTTATTTGTCCTTCCCCTTTTTCTTTTTTTTTCTTTTTTCTTTTTTTTTTTTTTTCCCCTTTTTTTTTTTTTTTTTTCTTTTTTTTTTTTTTTTTCCTTTTTTTTTTTTTTTTCTCTTTTTTTTCTCTTTTTTTCCTCTTTTTTTTTTTTTTTCTTTTTTCCCCCCCTTTTTTCTTTTTTTCTTTTTCTTTTCTTTTTTCCCCTTTTTCTTTTTTTTTCTTTTTTCTTTTTTTTTTTTTTTCCCCTTTTTTTTTTTTTTTTTTCTTTTTTTTTTTTTTTTTCCTTTTTTTTTTTTTTTTTTTTTTT